CCAAAGTGATGGGGTGGGAGGCTGCGGGGATGCCCCCAAACCTGGAGGGACGAGTCCCACACTAGAGGGACCCTCCGCTGGAGAGGGGAGCCCCGACCCAGGGGGGTGAACCCTCTGTGCAGGAGGGATACCCCCAGAACACTGTCCCTGCCACCGGGGCTGGGACACTCCCCTGCATCCAAACCCTCGTGCTCTGTCCCACACCCCGGCAGGGTTCCCGCACCGCTGCGGGCCCTGCTGTAACTTCGCTCCTTTTGAGGACCAACAAAACCTGACATTTTTAACTCGTGCCCCGTCAAAGGTGGTGGTTTTCCCCCTGCCTTGTGCCGCAGGGTCTGGGTCTGTGCTCCCGGCACCCCAGTGAGCCCCAGGGCAGAGCACTGGGATGGGGAGAGGGGTGAAAGCACCCCGTTGATGGTTTTTCCCCCCCAGGCCTCTCGACACAGCCCATCTGGCGCCAGCTGTGGGATGATGTGATGAAGACCAGGCCTCCCAACTCAGAGGTGAGGAAACACTAAGGTGGGAGAAGGGGCACGACACAGGTGCCGTTTTCCATGAGGTTTTGTTTCTGGCCACTTCTAAGCGATTGCTGGGACTTGTTTATAAGCATTCATAGAGCTCCAGACCAAAGCATGACCCTGGTAGCACAAACATTTTGGGAAGCAGGGTTCATAAAAGGAACGGAAGTGTGCAGCCACACCCTTCATCTCCCAACAGTGAGTTTGCCAAAAGAATAAAATCTGTCTTCAGAGATTCTCAGGGAAACAAAGGATAAAAACAGTATCTTTTGTCGTGCTTACACCTACGCTGGTAAAAACTCTGCTGATGTCTTAGAAAGCATGAGAAAAATACTTAGAGAAGACAGTGAGTTTGCAGAATGGTTTTATGTAGGAAAACTGAAGCAGCTTCATTGAGTCATCATAAAAGAATCATTAGCAGGCAACTTAATGACAGCCTGTAAATAGATGCTCAGGAAGAAAATTGCCGATGACGTGGTTTTCAATAGGCAAAAACATGGCTCAGCTTCAAACCACTGAATATGTTTAAACTGGGACAGAAACAGAATGAAGAGAGCCATGGGAGTAAACTCAGGTTTTCAAGGAATACACTGAGGAAGGATGTTGAGAAGTAGAAAGGTGGTCTCAGTGGAGGTAGCAGGAGGGGTTTTTGGACACCGCATTTACCAGGTTAGCAGACAGCAAAAATTTAGCTTAAAAAGAACGAGAAAAACGCTGAACTTTTTGTTCCTGTGCCCTGTTCAATTGCAGAATATAACCTGTTGGAGGAAGAAGTTCCTTGAAACGTTCTTCTCCAATGTTCTCCACGGTGTCTTGGACGTTTCCTCCGACTGGCGCCTCAACGACCATCACTTTTCGCCGCTGCTCCACAGCTCCCCGCACGTGTCCCAGCTCACCCTCTGCAACATGCTGCAGGGCGCCGTGGAGCTCGCTGCTGAGCACAACCACAAAGTGCTGGAAAACCTGGCTGGCTCCCTGCACGTCCTGAAGTTCCAGCACCTCCTCTCCTCCGACCAGTCCATCAGGCGTTCGCTGGTTTTGCTCCTCCACCGGCTGATTCACCACGGCTCTGTCAGCCAGGTGTCCATGTATTCCTGGCCTGTTCCCGACACGGTTCTTCTCGTTCTCATTTTGAGCATGAGCGCTGGGTTTTGGCGCTCAGGAAATGCCCTCGCTTATCAGTGTGGCCTTTGCAG